AGTGCAGCTCAAGTCGTGGCGGCGGCGTCCCGCGGAGCACCGTGCGGCACAGTCGCCAGTGGACGCGCGACGACGACGACGACTGCGGCAGCGACGACGGCGACAACAACGAGAACGATGATGGACATGACGGACATGACGGATTGGGGGTCGACTAATCACATCATGTATTCGTTGGTATTGTTATTATAATTGTTATAGACGGGCATAGCGCGAGTGCATGACTGGCAACAGGATATCCGGCGTTGGAAGGCTTTTCGGTCTCGCACAAAGGAAGTTGCTCTGCCTACTTACATAGTCTAGGCCAGGCAGGATATCATGCATGTATACAACACCAAGACGGCAGATGGCGAGCGCCCGATATAGTCCTCTATTATGAAGCATCTCTCACGTACTCGGAGATTCACGCGAGGCAGAGCGGATTAGGAATGAGGTACTGATTCTTGTTGTTGTTATGTCTGAGACTCACCGGTACGGCATGGGAACGAGGTTGAGTTCAGCCCTAAACGCCGCCTCACAATCCGTCAAGAAACACTCGGCAAAGAATATGCGCCGAGGAATATCGCGAGGACGCCAGATCCGAATATTCCTACCATAAGCTACTTCATCTCCCCGCGTGCCTCTCGCGTTCCATAGGCTCTCAAACCAACGCACGTGAATAAAACAAGTCAGTGTGGTATGCACATGATGTAGATACTAGGTTACCTAGGGTACTGCTTGGACACTTGGAGATCAGATCATAGATCCACCATGTGACCTTGTTAAACCTTTGGCGATGTCGTTTGAGAAACGAAATACTGCGCAACGAGAAAAACCCAGACGCCGTGCAGGATCGACGTTTCGGTTTGAGGAATTACACAGTAGACAGGTAAGGCCCGAAGGAATGCCAGTGCGGTAATTGGTATTTACACAGTACATAGTAAGTCCTGTTTCTATTTATTTCTTGAGACGGTGGCAACTTGCCGTCTGCGGAGGCGCGACTGTCCAAAAGGGCCTTAACCTAGATACATAGACTACCTAGATACTATGTAAGTACGCAGTACCAATACAATATGACTGCTGTTATTACCTGATAAAGCAAAGCGTCTTGACTTCAGAATATAACTATTAGTATGGCTTTGAGCCCTGATTTCGGCATGATACCATGTTGGCAAATCCTTGTGGCTGTGGTTGCTTCTCTTTCCAAGCTCCTGGAGCAGATGGTCAAATTTGTGTTACTATTTCTGGCTCTGGGGAGCGGTAGGCATGCAGCATGCCTCCACCCTAGGTCCTGCTAGGACAAAAATAGGTAAATGAGGTGGTCATGCAAGTGGAGTGATCGTTCCTGCATTAGGTACAGCATCCAGACAAGAAGAGAGGAGAAAACCTGAACACTGGCGACTGAGCTGGTTCATCTACTACTGCACAGCATCAGGTCTATCGCGGTTGCAGCAGGCATTTTGTCGGTTAGTCTCTCGTGTGCCTGAAATGTTATTGGTGTGGGAGCACTGGTGAATCGTGATGGATGGTCTCAAGACGAAAGGGAGAGCAAGTCAAGACTCGAGACACGTAAATCCACAAAGGATGATTGGTGGGATGGGATAAAACAGCACCAGGGGGGAGTGACAGCCTGCCTACGGCGCTACGCACCTACTACATATTGCACTGAATCCCACCCAACAGGGGCAGAGACAGGCTTGAGGATCCCTACTGAGCCCGTTCCGCCTGTCCACCCATCTCGCGGGCAATCATTCGGTTAGGTCACTAGTCTAGTCTACCTACTATGTACCGAAGGAGAACGAGCCGAGGACATAGCTACTGTCTGACTGACAATACCACCCCATTCCCCCAATTTGCTTGCTGTCCTCCACTCATCCATTCCTAGCACTGATACAGCTGTATAATACAGTCTCGATCTGCCTGTATCTCATCACTTTGTCACCACCGACGGCGACACAGATCACTAAGTCTTACAAGATTAGAGGCTCCAAAGCTTGACCTCCGTTGGCTGGGACCGCTTGGCTGGACTCGAGGAGAGGTAGCGAGCCCCTGACGACGTAACGCGGGTCGCCATGGCCAATAGGGGCCACAGGCCTGTTCAGAGTGGCCTGAATCCTCTAGGGAGACCACAGGTCTTCGTCCAACTGAGCTTTGGGGTATCCTGGTCCGAACGCCATGTCCCCCAGAGCCACAGTTTCAGCTACACATCAAAGAACCTCAAGAACGCGAGAGACTCGGGCCACTTTCCGCGCCAGCCGCTCCCGGAAGACCATCAACGCCACCAACCCGAGCCCGCACGCCCGCGCGGCAGGCCCGCCAGACCACACTCCCGCCACCTCACCTCCCAAGCGTCACCGCCCCTGGCCGAACCAGGGCCACCCGTCCCGCTCGAGCGAGGTTGCTCGGCACCAGCACCACTGCCTGAAGCTCGGTTGGGCGGTGAGGAAAATGCCCCCTCGGCCACACTCTTTTCCCGTCCGGTCCTGGCCACCGTTCATGCGCCCGCGCTGTGGAACGATCAGCCACCAGACCCGGCCAGCTTCCGGCTCAGCCAGGGTCTGCCCTGGTCTGTGTCCGCCTGGCCCTCCGAGCCGGACAACTCCGGGCACGAGCTGCCGCTCGCCAACGTGCCCACCGTTGTCCCCCTCTTGCCACTGAGTAAGCAGCGCGGCGAGGACCCGCAGAGGGTGAGGGAGCTGGCATCCCTATCGACGGCCATGATGACGGTGGACAACGGGTTCGAGAACCAGTGGTGGAACCAGGGTGAGCGCCAGCCCGTCGGCGCCCTCACCGTACCACCGCGAAGCCTCGGCGAGGACCATGCCCGCTTCACGAGCATGGATGACGCCCTCCTGCTCTCTCCAGCCGAACCGCCTTCGGCCGCTGAGACCTACAGCGCCACCATGGGTACCTTCAATGGCATCGTCTCGCCCATATCCGACCCTAGCCCCACCTTTACTCTCCCCTGGCATATCCACCGGTCCTTCACCTCGAGGTCGGATGACGAGCTTTGGATGGGCCGGTGACTGAAGTCCTGCCGAATCACACAGTCACGGCTATCTATCGACAGCTGGCCCTCTGGGATCATTCGATGAGCAGGCGTCATGGCACTTAGTCTCTTGGGTCGCGATTTACTACTGCATTCTACCACCACTGGCAATTCTTGGAGGGGCGTGGTTAGGTGTTTAACTTATAATATAATTGTATATTATTACTCCCTAATGTTCGCTGCATTTACTACTGCATTCTACCACCACTGGCGAGTCTTGGAGGGGCGTGGCTGGGTGTTTAACTTACAATATAATTATATAATTACTCCCTAATATTTGCTGCAGCCTGCAAGCCCTTATTGCTTATTAAGACTTGGTTCTACGGTTCTACCTAGTCTATATGGGGATTAAATCCTTGCACGTTTTTGTCATAGCGTATCGTACTCTTTACACAGAAGAGGCTGACATGGAAGAACGTTGAAGTTGCCCGGTCATCATTTGGGCATTGTTCATTTCCATCAGGCCCAAGCAAGCGGATGGCCGATACGCCGTCATCAACTTTCAGCACAAAGGGCTCTGCAGTGCTGCGTACACAGTATGATGGCCCGAATCCTGTCCTCATAAACTAAAACTTGAATGCCCCACAAGCCTTGGCGTTTTGAGGACATTTTACAGCTGCTGTACTGCTGTACTGTTGTACATGGTGTGAACTTACCAGGTCGTCTTTGGGTGATTACATAAGTACATGTATTACTGGCTACAGCAGGACTGCAGGTGCTGTCTGTACTCAGGACATACAGTAGTACATTAGTACGGATACTGTGCTAGTAAAGGAGAGCTCACACAAATCGGGATGCACTTACTGGATCCACACTGTCCTTGCTAAAAGTTATTACAGACAACTTACAGTAGGACAACTTCTATGCTCCATCAAGCACAAGTCGAGAAATCTCATCCGGCGGCTTGGAAAAAAAGGATTAACTCACGTCTACTGCTGTACTAGTACTACTATTACTACATCATCATCATCATCATCATCAACATCAACATCAACATCAACAACAACAACAAAACCATACTCGTAACAGGGGGTCAGCTTCACGACTCGAAATGGCGCCGGGAGTGAAAGGCCAGACGCAAAAGCCGGCAACAGGAGCACAAGTCGAAGACGAGTTCAGAGCCTACTACCTGCAGCAGTCGACCAAGGAATTTGCTGAGGACCTGGACAAGGTCCGCAGCGCCGACGACTTCAAAGGCGACAGCGCCCTCCGTATCCTGGTCGAGTCTCTACGGCAAGGGACATCCATGTTCTCAGCCTCGGATCAGAAGAGGGTTGTGGATGCGCGCCGAGCCGCTGGAAAGGGGAGTGCTGACGAGGATGATTCTCCTCCCTCCTCCTCCTCTTCAGCTTCTTCCTGAAAAGCGACCAGTTTAGACAAGGTGCTGAACGGCAGGTATTTCCTACCCATGCAAAGCTGTCGTCAAGGCGCAGCGCATGGGTTGTTGGGGCACGACCCCAGCCCGAGTTGCAATGAGACAGGAGAGAGAAAGGAAAGGAAAGGAAAGGAAGGCCGGCTTGCCATTCATGACGAATAAGATGATGGGCATGTTCTACAGTGCAGCTACCCAGATGTGCCAGGTACAAGGCAAATACCCTACCTAACCCACACCAATGACCTTGATACCGGATTCTCCATCCACGAGTACATGTATGCCTTCGTCCTCCACTCTCTCTCTGCATAGCATTGCATATATCTAGCCAATCTTTAGTAGGTATGGTAAAGGGAGTCATCTTGTAGAATCAGTTGATGAACTGCTCCTAACCCCCAAGCAGTCCATCCCGTTGCAACACGTCGACTAGATCCCTACACAGTACCGTGGGTAACGTTGAGGCTCAAGGTCAGATAGTCCTAACTTCCAAGAGCGAGCCCTGTGGGAAATCTGTCTCGACTCTCTAGACTAGGCCCACACCACTCACTAATGGCTAGACTCCTTAATTTTTGCTATACGGCCGCTACGACAATCAAGCAGGGCATGTTGCCAGAGTGGTTAATGGGTGAGACTTGAATCCAAATCAATGGGTTAAGCCATCTCATGACTTCGGTCGCGTAGGTTCAAATCCTGCACATGTCGCATCTTTTTTTTCTTTCTCGTTTTCCACCTTTACTCAGCATTCCTTTGTTCCCCGCTTTCAATTAACGTTAGCCACTGTTAGGAGCACTCTTGAATCTGCAGCATGTACAGCTGTCTGGACCAGTACTCCTGTGACAGATCAGCATGCTAAGCTCGGTTAACATAGGTGATATAAATGCTTTGCCGCTTGTGTTGCGCTTATTTTGTTTGCAAACCAAAGCCTACGGCAGGGGTGGACTAAATTATGTATTTATTATGTATGTACTATGTTCCGTCTCGCTTCCTTTGCCCCTCCCTTCCTCTACCCACCTCTTTCCTCATAGCCAAAACAACGTCACAACGTAATGATCGGAACGGCCAGAAGAACGCAAACCCAATTCCAAGGGTATCATTTTGACATAACACATGAAACAGAAGTCCCAGACTGATAGCACCGGCACACCACGCATCGTATACTGGCGCGGTTGTCGCCGTGCTTAGCAGCGGAAGAGTGTATGTATGTACAGCTCGCAAAGACAACAGTATTTTCAGCCTCTGGACCGGACTTTCCACGAGGCCGGGGCGCCCCCACATTCTTTGCGGACTGCCCACCCCTTGAAAGCGAGGAGGAGAACGATCCACGCCATGAGAAGACCGACAAAGCCCAAGGTCACGGTGTAGAAGAACATGGCATCCAGGCCGTAGTGAACCATGCCACTGATCGTGTCGCCGCTCTGTAGATACTGTCAGACTTTTGCCCGATACCAGCACGTTGGGACCATTGGCCACCGGGGCGGGTTCAACTTACGCTCGCCATGAAGATGATGCCGCCGGCGATCAGTCCAAAGGCTGTGAGGAGCTCCGTGGGAGGGCGTGAGGGATATACCGAGCGCGGGGGCTTCAGGTAGAGCAGGACATAGGTGAAGCCTCGTGCGAAAGAAGCTCCCGTCAATAGGTTGCCCCATTGCTTGTGTACCATGCTGGATATCATGGATTGCTGCGTGTGTGAGCTCATCATGATGCCCAGCAGGAGAATAACAAGCGCCGGGATGGGGTTGATGGAGAATTCGTATTGCTCGGGCTCGTCGAGCACCGCACGCTCCTCCTCGCTGTATACATGGTCGGGAAGCGACAAGGCCGCTACCGAGGTGGTCGTGTTCAGCAGTTCACGGATGCGAGTCGACTCGACGAGCATCGCCAGCTGTCGTGCTTGGTTAACATTCCGCCTGTGGACTCTATACATGCAACGCGCGATGGATCAAGGTAGCAAGACTTACCAGCCCACCTCCGATGAAAAGGACCGTAATGGAAATGTGTTCCAGGTCCTCGGCGCTGAATGTGTCGTCTGTGCTGCCGAGATGCTCAAGGAAGATATTCGTCGCGCCATAGGTGAAGATGAGCGCGCCCTCGACAAATTCGGCAGTCGGCCTCCATTTCTGCGAGCTGCGCTTGGGACGAACATTCCACGCCTACACGTCCTGTTAGCCAATCGCGCCCCCGCCGCGAGACACAGCTCGTCCGTGAGTGGTTCCATCCAGCTTACCCAGCCTAGCTCTCCGAAGCTACCAGACCACCGTCCCAACGTCAGGACACCGTACCAGAAGAAAACACCACCCTTGATCCAGTGTGCCAAGCCGCTGAAAATTTCGTGTCCCTCCTGTACGGATACCGGGTGGTTAGAAGCGGGGCGCCAGGTAGTCCACCGGTGTGGCAACTTACAAAGAATCTTGCATATGTGATGACGCCGGTGCAAAGTGTGATGTAGCCCAAAAGGAGGATTGTACGGTCCACCAGGTCGTACCCAGAGGTCAGGACTGACCAAGCTCGCCTGGAGATCTTGCTGGCCATCCTGGCGATGAGGTATTGCCTCTTGGTCGGGACACCCATTCCGGCCGGCTTGAAGGGCACACTGTCGTCGTCGTCGTCGTCATCTCCGTAATGCGCCCGCGGTTCACCCAGTTCGATAGGAGACTCGAGGCCGACCATGGTGGATAGCGAGCCACTCCGCAGCGACTCCGTATTCGACTCGGTGCCATGGCCACTATCGTTCGACTGGCGGTATGACGAGGGAAACAGCTGTTGGTCCAAGCGATGGTGTTCGGCCATGGTTTCGGACGAGATAGGCATGAACGCTTGTTCCTCTTCCTTGCCGTGTCCTGCGTGGACTGCACTGCTCATGACACCGGCAACCCGGCCCACCAGGCCGACGAGAACCTGAGCGCCCACTACCCAGGTCACGACCCATCCCAGCTTATGGTGCGCGTTGTTCGGATACAAGTCAGGAGTGCTTGCGTTGTAACCAATCCCCACCAACACACCGATGGCATTTGCGAGAAGGAAAACACACTGGGCGGCGAGGGTATATCGCGACCGCGCGATCGAGAGCATGACGGCTACAGCACCCCACGTTAGCACTAGTCTGTCCTCGCTACGAGCGCAGAGGGAGGATGGTATACCTGCGGGGAGCATGAACACCCAGCCTATGGCCATGATGGCAATATGCACGTAGATGGCGGTGACGTGTTCGGGATGGCTGAAGTACGTCGGGGGGTACGATCCGGGATCAGGACTCGGCTCTTGTGCGTCAGAACCACCGTGGTCATCCGTATCTCCGTGCTTGCCCATGTCCATGGCGCCTTCGTCGCTGCCATGGGCCAGCACCGCCGGGAGGGCGCCTGCAACAACAAGCAGGACCAGTAGCTTCATCGACTTCGCAGTGGCCGATCGCATCTTGTTGCTGCCACGTACTGTCGTGCTCACTGACGGGATCAGATATAACCCAATGTAGACCAAAATTCAAGGTCCTGCCCCTCTCCTGCACGCGAAAACGGCACAGGACTGCACTCCTCTCCAACTCAAGTTCCGCTTCGAGAGGTTGCAAGTCAGACAATGGCTGGTCGCGTGTCGTAGGGGACTGCCGATCGCGGAGTGTCCCGAGCCCACCGATTGCCAAGAAAGCGCATTCGTCGGCTTGTCTTTGTTCACCTTGGTCGGGAGCTGATCGACCGCCTCCCGCGAAGCCTACTTTTGACTCACTGTCCTTTCGTATTGCCTTTGGGTACTTGGAGTCACCGCGCGTGGTACAGGCGGCCAGGACCCGGAAATACAGCCGCGGAAGAGGATTAGTCAATCGGTCGCCCCGATGCAATCTAGCAAACCCAGGGTTTGAAGTACGGATTGGGCAAGGATTAGAGATGTAGTAAAAGCTGGGATCGCAACGGTAAGCCAAAGCCAGTCCCAAGTAGAAGAGGGTATGTGGATGCGTAGTCAAGACGGTATCATATCACTATCTAGGAGCAGCCAGAACGAAAAGGGAAGAACATTAGGAGGAGCATCGCGAGGGAGGGGACGGGAGGAAGAGGAGGGCAGGTCGCCCACATATACGTTTCTAATCAACGGTGTGGGAGGGAGGTAACTAATTCCTGCAAAGCACATTGGGAATTGTCCGATACAGTAGCATTTTAGGGTTGCTGGCGCTCTGGCCTTTGACTTTTTTAGTCTTGCGTGGAGTCGGATGGACGAGGCTTTGGATCACGATGGGCTGGCAGACGGACCAACAGGGTAGGGAGCCCCATGTTGCCAAGGCTTGTCTCAGTCTCCGGCAACATACAAAGTAACCTTAGGGATGGATGTGTAAGGGACGGTACTCGGATTCATCGGGCGACGGTGAGGATTGTCCAGGTGTAGTACTGCGGTAGCTGCCGTGTCATTGTAGAGTCTGTTCTACCTAACCTTACCTTGTACTGCAGCATCATGGATGTGTGGATGTTGACTGAGTCACGAGTCACGACAAGTCCGAGTGTCAGCTTGTCACGATCCGAAGCTTCCGAGCAACCAAGGGTTGAACTTTGCAGGGTAGCACGATGCTCTCGTAGAACAGAACAGAAGTAGGTGGATTATTAATGTACCTGGGTCTAGGTAGGCCACAGTAGTGCGATCCACTGCAGGGTTGGTAAGGTAGGTATGTATGTATGTATGTACTTAATGTATGTATGTAGGTTTGTAGGTACAGCTGTAGATACTGCATAAGTCGCTATGCAGAGGTATCCTTTTGTTGTGGCGACATGAGCATGTTTGAACTACAGCTTACCTTACCTCAGGTACCTTTCTGTCTGTAAGTAAAAGTACAAACAGCTTACATTATATGTGATGGCGTCTGAATCTAAGGCGCACTTGCATGTGAGAAAGAAGTCCTGACTCCTATTGCCACTTGGAGGTGCCATCCCTCATATGTACAGTATGGTACTGCTGTAGCTACCGATATGTAGCATTTTCATTTCGCTTGGCCCTTCTGTAGCAATGTAGCGTCAAGCTTGAGAAAAAACCTCCCATTATTAATGTGCCAACTGCTTCTTGCCTTTTTCTAACCTGTTGCTTACTACCTGGATCCACCTAGCCTAGGTACATACGGCCTAGCAGGCACTGGTAACCTCAGGGCGCCAGGGGGCTATTTAGTTAGCATTGCTGCAATAGAGTTACGACCTGTAAGTGTTGCCCTCATACCTTCCAATCTGGACAAGGCTTCGGCAGCCCGACTCCATTGCTACCACGCTTTTGTATACGACATACATAATAAACGCAAGTACCTTTTAAAGCAGCGTATTGACTAAATGTCAAAAGCTATAACAATATAGAGAAAAGTGTTTTCTAAACCATTACAGGGCAAAACCTATTACAAGGCAAAACCTATTATAGAGCAAAAACCATTCTAAAGTAAAAACTATTATAAAATGTTATAGATTAGGCTGGCAAGCACTAACCTGTTAAAAAGGTATACTCTATACTTTCTTTACTGCAAGGAAAGAGTATATAACTAACTTTTTTAGCTTTACAAAAAAGCTACTACTTAGCTGCTTATATATATATATATATATATTATAGTTCTTTTAAGCTAGATTATAAATAGCATTGCTTATAAGCCATTTAGCTTCAGCTTTTTAGATATAATTTAGCTTTATTTACAATATTTAGCTAGAACAAATTAGTTAATACTATTTAATATAAAATTTAAAAAAGTAATA